CTTCAATGGTACTTTGCCTGGAGATAAAAATCCCTCCTTTTTGCTTCCCATTTAAAGTGTAGAATCCCGTGCCAGGCTCTAAATGCCACAAATAATTTCAGGCAGCGCATTATTATCTAGCTATACATGTTATCTAGACACATCATGGTACCACAAATAGGAAACATTTTAAGACACTAGTAGCTAAGAAACTGAAAACAGCTAAGACTAAGGCACACTTGCTCTTAACTCTCCCACACAAGCTACCATTAAAGCACCCTTTTTCAAGGAAAAGATATCCTAAAGATCCTGTATAATAAGAGAAGGTACCTCTTCCCCTAAAATAGAGGAAGCTTTAAAAAGGAATGGCATTCCGGGGCGCCTGGGTGGCTCAGCGCTTAAGCTTCTGACTTTTAGCTCAGGTCGTGATCCCAGGGTCCTGGGATTGAGCCCCACATCCGACTCCCTGCTCGGCGGGGAGCCTGCTTCTCCCTCTCCTTCTGCAGCTCCCTCTGCTTGTGCTCTCTCTCTCTGTCAAATAAATCAATAAAATCTTAAAAAAAAAAAAAAAAAGGAATGGGATTCCTACTTGAAATGGAGGACAGGAATAGTTTTGAGGAGTCAGTGATACAAGTACTAAATACGTCATTTTTTAATTTATTTTATTTTTATTTATTTTTAAAGATTTTATTTATTTGACAGAGAGAGTGAGAAAGCACAAGCAGGGGGAACAGGAGAGGGAGAGGAAGAAGCAGGCTCCACCGCTGAGCAAGGAGCCAGACATGGGGCTCAATCCCAGGACCCTGGGATCATGACGTGAGCTGAAGGCAGATGCCTAACCATCTGAGCCACCCAGGCACCCCTAAATACTTCATTTTTAAAATGACACTCATAACCTTCAGATCAGCTCCTTCTGAGTTTTGTTTCTTGTCAGGCTCAGGAATTTTTTGTACTGATCAATCCAGCACATAATCTCCTTCTAAGCTTAACCAGGCTCACACATGTTAAACATCTGGCTGGGGTTGAGAGGTGCAGTTTGCAGCTCAGTAAGACATGCTGGCTCACCTGGGAAACCTGTGCATACATGGATACTTAACAAATGAATACAGAAATGTACCTGCAATGGTCGTAATGTAATTTTCTCTGTGACTAATTCCCATCCCTTTAAGGGAGAGGAGGTATGACTGATGAGGGCACGCAGGAAGCAGATAGTGATCATAAGGAAATTTGTGAGGGGGCTATCGAGAATGCTTTTGTCACTGCCCATGGAGCTCCTCCTAGAGAGAGAGAATCAAACAGATTGAAAAATGAGTAACTATCACCTGGGTTCTGGCAGCCTGCCAGGTAGCTTTTGCTTACCTTTGATCTTCGTTAAAAAACTATGTGGGCTGTGTCACAACAAAAGTGTCTTTCTTATAACAATCTCTACACCATGGAGATATTTTTCTTTTTTTTTTTTTTTAAAGATTTTATTTATTTATTTGACAGAGAGAGACACAGCGAGAGAGGGAACACAAGCAGGGGGAGTGGGAGAGGGAGAAGCAGGCTCCCCGCAGAGCAGGGAGCCCAATGCGGGACTCGATCCCAGGACCCTGGGATCATGACCTGAGCCGAAGGCAGTCGCTTAACCAACTGAGCCACCCAGGCGCCCATGGAGATATTTTTCTAACCAAAGGACACATTTGTTTGGAAGAGGTCTCAAGAACTAATACTGGGAAGGAGCTCGGATACCATTTGTCCAAAAGGCTGGCACTCAGAAAGGTTAAGTGACTTACCTAAGGTCACACAGCTGGCAACAGCGTCTAGCCTAGGACCGAGAGCTAACCAGAATTTCCCAAGAAAAATATGTCTATCATTGTGGCTATTAATACAGGTTTTTTTTTAAGTTTTTTTTTTAAGATTTTATTTATTTGACAGAGAGAGACACAGCGAGAGAGGGAACACAACCAGGGGGAGTGGGAGAGGGAGAAGCAGGCTTACCGCCTGAGCAGAGAGCCCAGAACCCTGGGACCATGACCTGAGCCAAAGGCAGACACTTAACGACCAGGCGCCCCGCTACTAATACAGTTTTAAAAAGACAAGGTCCCCTATCCTTCAGAACTATAGCTTTATCACTATGCCTTCTAACTCCCTAGAATCAGTACACTTAGGTATATAAGTATACATTGTTTTAAGACCACCCATCAATTGAAGAGTGCCCACATGTCAGGTTTGAAAAGGAATTTCTATCTCTGATACATCATTTTTTTTGTTTAAGATTTTATTTATTTATTCATGAGAGACAGAGAAAGAGAGAGAGTCAGAGGGAGAAGCAGGCTCCCAAGGAGCAGGGAGTCTGACGCGGGACTCGATCCCAGGACCCTGGGATCATGACCTGAGCCGAAGGCAGACGCCCAACCATCTGAGCCACCCAGGCGCCCCTATCTCTGATACACCTTACCACAGCTATGAAATTTAAGTAAGTTTATCCATATTAACAATATGTTGTTTGAAACAGAAACATAAATATATAAAGTCACAAAATTATCTCATATATAATTGATGGTGACTAAGAAGTATCATTGGAAAAATATACAACTTGCACTAAAACTTCAGTTATTCCAAGTTAAAGACTAATTTATTTCAAAGAATGAGGAACTGAATTACTACTACACCTGATAACAACCAAACATTTTTGCCCATAAATTATCTTTTCCTTAGTATTTATAAGAACTAGATGAGAAAAGCACATGTACTAATGAAGGTTAAAAAAAAAAAAAAAAAACTTGCAGCATAAACAAAATAGTGCTCTCCATGGTAAGAAATAAAGTCCACACTTAAGTATCATAGCAAAATTTTCACCAGACACACACACACACAAATGCACACGCCTAACGGATGGATTCTAAAAAACAGCTAAGCATTCCATAAGCCAAATGCTCAAAAATTAACAAAAGATGATTAACATTCCTGTATGTGTGATATTGTATAAATGAGCAGACCCCTCTCTGCCCTCACTTCTCATCTCAACCTCCTTTTCCCAACGCTGTGCTCACCCTTCTACCTCCCCCTACTCTGCAACCAAATCACAACCACCCAAAAGCAAGGTGTCTGCTGTAACCCAAAACACTTGACCGATAATATCCGGTTTGCCATTCCAGGAAATCCCAGAGTGTGTTTTAAGCCTCTGCCCAAGGCTTATAAAGAAAGGCAAGAGAAAAACTAATCAATACCAGCACCCAGCTGTGACCTGGCATGTAAAGAAATCAAGAAAAAAAATCCCATCCATAATCTGTATAATTTAACACTTGGAAGAAAGCAACATCCGGGATCGCCTCCAAGCGGGACAGTGTTGCTGGATGGATCCATGCTTCTTGCACGGAGTGTTAAACCCAGTGAGTGACAAGGGGGACGCTCCAGTTCCTCACCATTTCAGCAAAGGCAGTATCTTTTCCTAGCAAGGGTTAATCTACCCAAAAAGGGGGTGGGAGGAGGGGGTCAGAAGGAAAATAATAACCACCATCTACACTTTGCCAGTACAGTGTCTTGCAAAGGTTCCCCCCCCACACTTGAAAGAGAGGGAAGGCTGGAACCCCTTCCCAAAGGTGGGTCTAGGACAAACTATTGTCTTACCGAACGGTCACAATCAGAATGAAAGCTAATGAAAATATCGGAATGACTTTGTTTAATCATACAGTCCTTTCAGTGGACTCCAAAGTCCTATCCCCATGGGAAGTTAAAAAAAAAAAAAAATCCCCTATGACTACGATTCCCTGGAAAGGCTTTCCAGATTTTTTAAATTACAGAAAAATTAATTTAGAACGTAAGCAGATACCTACACATTGTCTAAATCACTAGCTCTGTACCCAATTAACAAAAAAAAAGTACACCAATCAGCAGGACGAGGCATTATAGGAAATAAAGATTGTTAGTAAAATCCAAAATGCTTTCACCCTGTTAAACCTTCTGAGAGGTTATAATTGCATTTGGCTGCTGCAGGCTTGTCGGAGAGCCTGGCTTCTTAATAGCCACAACCCTAAAAGGAGTAACTGTCAAGGGGAGACCCAGCTGAAATCAAACAACAAAAACGGGAACTGTAGTCAGCCTGAAATGGGAGGAGGGAAAGGAAGGGAGACTCCTGTATTCATCAGTCAACATTAATGTCCTTTGTTGTTCACCTTTGCACGGAACAGCGAGCGCTACCCTGTTCCTTTTCCTCCGAACGCCAGTGTCAGAGTAGTCTTTTCCTAAAAGCTGTCCCCTCGCCTCGAAGACCCAGGTTTTCCGATTTCCCCCTCCCCATTATCACTCCACAGCTGTCCTCCACCAACCCCCAACGCGCTTACCCCGGGCCGAGAGGGTGGCCAGAAGTAAAAACATTGCTGAGATACCCGTTCCCCTCCAAAGACCAAAGAGGCGCAGATGTTGAAATTTACCAATCCCCCAGCCCCTCAACACTCACACCCCAGGAACCCGGGATAGGAAGGAGGAAGGAAGCTGGGGTCGGGCTCGGTCTGTCAGCACGGCTCTTTTGAGGACGGTGCCACATTCCGCACTCCGGGAATGCCAAAGGGACCCGGAGAAAAGGTTTTGCGCCTCCCTTCTGTTTTGGGGGTCTTCTCTCTGCGCAGTAGTTGTTGTCTCCCTCTCTACCCCGGGGAATCGTTCAGCCCATTTCCCTCTTTGGGGAAGGAGGGAGAGGAACGCCGTTCGCCCTCCTCTTCCAACTTGACTCGCACACGCCCCGTCGCCACTCCAACTCCGCAGGCAGAGCCCGCAGGGGGAGGGCTGGCCGAGCGCTCCCCCAGCCGTCCCGGCGCTCCGGGAGCCGGTGCGGGAAGCGCCGAAGGGGCGGCGAGGGGCGAGACCCCGGCGCACACCCCTCTGCCGGGAGCAGGCTCGGCAAAGCCCCAAACCCGCAGCGCGATGCCAGGACTAGGCATTTCCAGCCCGGCAGAGCGAGAGGGGCGCAGGGGCAAGGACGCGAAATGCGCACCCGCTCGGGCCAGAGAGGAATAAAAGTTCGCCCCGCGGAGACTCACCCACGCCGTATTTCTCGTGCTCCGTAGGTATCCACATGGCTAAAGGGGGATCCGGGGTCTTCGGGCTTTGTAATCCCCGCACCTTCTCCGGCTCACAACAATGCACAGCTCCCGAGTAGCGGCTGCAACGCTGGAGCCCGGCGGCTCCGCGCGAGCTGTGGGCGCTAGGCAAGGTCTGCGCTGGAAGCTCCCGAGCCCGGCGTTGACACCGCGCGGCTGAGGCTGCGCCGCCCGCCGCTCTCCCGGCTGCGGCTGCTCACAGTCCTCCGACGCGCTCCCGGGGACCCGGCGGCGCAGTCATTGTTCTGATTCACTGAACTAAGCTACACGCCAGGATACTCTCCGGCGCACCCCCGCCCGCCAGCGCCTCTTCCAGCCCTCCCTGTCCCAGGGTCCCTGCAGCACGCTGGGAATTGTAGTTCTGGGCCTCGCCATCCCGAAAGGGGGCGTGGCATTAGCGGCTAGGGGCGGGGATTAGGCTCCGCTCTCCACGTCCTATTGGCCCAGAACGTGATGGGGAGGCGTGGACGTGGAGGAAACCCCGCGTTGATGGGGAGTTTGCCTCCAGTCGCGTTTCCATTGGTTCCGGACCCGCCTGCCTGCCCTCCCTTTTCTCCTCCGCCGCGTAATGGCTGCTCCCGAGACCCAGGCGGCTGCGGCCGGAGGGGAGGAAGACTGTGAGGGCAACCACAGCGAAGCCGGGGGTGTCAGTTATGAGGGTGAGTACGGTGCCATGAAGTGTAAATGGTTTGTCTCCCTTTCTCTCCGACGAGGAATGCAGCTGACCGCCAGGCAAGCCCCAGGAGCCTGCCAGCTCTAAAGCCACCTGGGCGCGAGGGGGCCACGGGCGGGCCCAGCCTGGCGGGGTGAGGTCGGAGGCGTCTACTTGGTGGAGGCTCCTGGGGAGGAAAGAGAAAATGGGATAGAATGGCCTTCCCCGCAGCCAGGGAAGCTCCCTGAGCGTTTGTCTTCCGTTTGGAGCTCCCAGCTTTGCGCTCGCTGCGGGGTGGGTGTGTGTCAAGTCATGTTCGCTCATGTGTGATTGTAGCTCCGGGATGAGCAGCTCTCTCCTCTCCAGTACCCTGCCTCCGCCTCGGTTGGCCTCGGGAGATATGTTTTATTTGTGTTCGGGAGGATTTCCAGTTGAAGACTGGTCACTTCCCTCCACTCCACGGAGTTGCTCAATTGCTGGCTGGAGCGGCCTCTGAAGGGAAAATGTGCCTCTCACAGCCTCTCTGATCGCCCGAGGCGATCTCCAGGATTGTACGTAGACCCTGGCTGAGTTCTTAAAGAGGAAAAGAAGTGATGTTCTGCATTCTTGGCTTCAGAGAAAATTTGAAGGTGGTTATGAAAATCATCGGAACTACTTTGGCTCTACTTGTCTTTTAAGTTGCTCTGTGATCCACTGTAGAGATCAAAAAAACTAAACTTTGGGAGGCTGTCAGGGGGATTGTCTTGAGGATTTCTCGCCCTATTCTTTTACCTTTAGGGCATCTATCCCCGTCGGCTCCCTTCTTTTTTGTCTTGATGTGTAATTTAGCACAAGTTGTCTTTTTCTATTGGACATGGTTTGGGACTCAAAGGTTTTCGGTCCTTGTTTGATATTTTTTGGGGTTACTTTGTTTTTGTTTTCACGATTAAATTGACATTTAGTCTTGAGTTTTTATTCAGCAGCACAGAGATAAAGTGCAATTTCTTCCCAGTGCCCATCTGAAATTAATTATTTTAATACCTCTACCAAAGAAATCTTTGATAGGCTCCTGACTTTAGATAGTTATACCCACACCCCAAGCAGTTCATTTGGGGGCTCTTACCTGATGGTAAGATACTAGTAAGGTTTTCCAGATTCTCAAAGTTCCAGAGGGCTGGCTACCTGTGTAACATTTAAAGATGAAATCTTTGATGAATTTATCTCACAGATTAACTCATAAAAAAGAAAATTGGGAATTCCTTTCAAAAACATTGTAGAACTTTTAAATATCTTTAGTTATTATAAAAAGTTTTCATAATAAATATTTGAAGCCAGTGCATTTAAGTTAAATGAAAGTTCCTCCACCACACAGTTCATTCCCAAAGTAACAACTCTTAAAAGTTCGTTGTGTGTTCTTTCTCACATATTCCTACGTGACACACACCCGTATTGTTTCGAATTTGAAAAATAAAAAGGGATCATTCTGTGTAAGCTCAAAGATCTACAACCTCCTTTCTCCCAATCATCTATTATAGACACCCTTCCATGTCAGTATATTTGTTGCTTCATTCTTTTTAAGGACTGTGCCAGTTGTATTCCATAATATGAATGTGCCATAACTTTAACCATTCCTCTGTTAATGAACAGGTAGCGGGCTTAGTGAACAACTTTATATACATGTCCTTCCCCCTCTTAGTGTGGATTTCTTGAGGAATTGATGGGTCAAAGGTAACACAGGTTTAAAATTTTGATAGATGTCAGATTTTCCCTTTGAAAGGTGTCAGCATACACACCTATCAGTAATATATAAGTCTTCTTTTCCCATGTGCTTACCTGTGTGAGGAAATCGTTAATCAAGGACCAATGTTTAAATGACTTATTGGATTGAATTGAGTAAGTGCTATAAAGCATAATTTTATGTTCCAGTTTGTTTTCAATGGAAGTATTGAGCAGCAGTGAATTTGAAGCATCTGTAACAAAAAAATTACTCACCTTGGCTCATAGCTGACGAGTATTCTTATTAATCTGTAGCAGTCAATGGGAGAACTAATGGTTGATTTTTATATCATTCTTATAAGGTAAGGTTGTCATTAAAAATCCCCTTAATAATTTATGTATGATTCTGTAACTTTATCCGAATTCTTTTCAAAGCCTGCAAAGTGTGATACAAATTTTGGGTGGAAATAGTGATACTAAAAGTATATTCTATTTTTTTGTTAAACAGTTACTTAGGTTCTCAAGAATGTCTTTCCCTGTAAAATCATTAATTTCTTGAAAACTTTTTTTAAGAGGTTTCACTCTTGGTCTAATTAAAATATCAGTCTGTGTGCTTAATGTCCTGGGAGTGAACATTTCTACTCCAATGTCACTGAGTGGTGTGCAAGCAGGTACAGTACCTTACCTGAGATCTGCGCTGCCAGACTTCCTGAGGCTCCATCCCTCTCCAGAAAAGTCCCTGATCTTGCACGACACTGCTTTGCATACATTTGAACTGTAACTGGGATATCATACTATCTTCTAAAATTAAGAACAGATAGTAAATACAAGATAGTATGTTAAGTAACAGTAAATTAAGAACAGATAGTAAATCACACTTGGCGATGTATTATTGGTATTTTTTGTTCTGCTGTTTTTAGTCAGAGGCAGTAAGATAACACATATAGTTTATTAACTGACAGTATTTACAGGAAATTTTTGTCATGGAGGTGGTTTTTTTCTGACAGTATTAACCTATGTGTCCATATTGTAATACTCGGACAGTTAACTTTTTTCTCTGCAAATGCATGCTCACTAGATGATAATCATAGGAATGCTACTTTGGATTTATAATGTACTTCCTATGGAGACCTTATTAACTAATTTGTGATGTCTCTAGAAGGAGTGGGGTAGCAGGTGGTCTCAACTCCTCATTCTTATATTTGCTCTTTCAGTAAATAACGTCAAGCCTTAGCTAGAAACCTAGGAAGCATCCTTGATTCCTATCTTGCCCTCACATCCTGAATCTGATGAGATACTAAGCCTTATTTTTCTGTGCCTGAAATCATCTTTTGAATTTGTTCTTCATCTCTTTAGCCTCTATTCTATTTCTAACCCTCACCATTACTGCTGAATTAATTACTTGTGTCCCCCATCCTCCAAACTGTGTTCTTGGGGACCAAAAGTCTGACATGTTTGGTTTTGTCTGCCTCACCCTGTCTTGGCACTTTGTCAATATTTAATCATTGTTTAACCAGAAATGAATTCCAGCCTGCATGATTGCAAAACCTTCCTAGTGATCGCACTGACTCTTGATTTTTCCCTCCTTTAGTCCATATTCCAAAACACAAATGGGTTCGTGCGTCCTCACGTCAAATCTTCAGTGTCACTCTCATGCTTATATAATGAGATCTAAATTCTCCACATGGCATTTAAGATTCAAATCTACTTTTCCAGCCTCATCTTCAGTCATCCTGCTTTCCTTCCCACATCTCCATTATCACACTTACTGTATCAAACTGTAGTTATTTATTGGCAGCTTTGTCTACCCCAGTAGACTATAAACTTCTTGAGGGCAAGAGTTGTCTTATTTTACTTTTATTACATCCAGTGCTTATCTGAGCTGCATGAAGTAAACACTCTAACAGTTAATGGTTAGAATCTATTTGAAATTTATTCAAAGTACTTAGAATGGCTGCTATTTTACACAGAGGAATTGAAATCAAATAAAAAACTGAGTATATGTTTTATTTTTTTAATTTTATTTTATTATGTTATGTTAGTTACCATACATTATATCATTAGTTTTTGATGTATTGTTCCATGATTCATTGTTTGCGTATAACACCCAGTGCTCCATGTAGAACGTGCCCTCTTTAATACCCATCACCGGACTAACCCATACCCCCACCCGTCTCCCCTCTAAAACCCTCAGTTTGTTTCTCAGAGTCCATAGTCTCTCATGGTTCATCTCCCCATCCGATTTGCCCCCCTTCATTTTTCCCTTCCTACTATTTTTTTTTAACATATAATGTATTATTTGTTTCAGAGGTACAGGTCTGTGATTCATCAGTCTTACACAATTCACAGTGCTCACCATAGCACATACCCTCCCCAGTGTCCATCACCCAGCTCCCCCCCATCTCTCCCACTCCCACCACTCCAGCAACCCTCAGTTTGCTTCCTGAGATTAAGAGTCTCTTATGGTTTGTCTCCCTCTCTGGTTTCATCTTGTTTCATTTTTCCCTCCCTTCTCCTGTGATCCTGTCTTGTTTCTCAAATTCCTCATATCAGTGAGATCATATGATACTTGTCTTTCTCTGATTGACTTATTTCGCTTAGCATAATACCCTCTAGTTCCATCCATGTCGTTGCAAATGGCAAGATTTCGGGTTTTTTGATGGCTGCATAATATTCCATTGTGTGTGGGGGTGCCTGGGTGGCTCAGTTGGTTGAGCGACTGCCTTCGGCTCAGGTCATGATCCTGGAGTCCCTGGATCAAGTCCCACATTGGGCTCCCTGCTCGGCAGGGAGTCTGCTTCTCCCTGTGATCCTCCCCCTTCTCATGTGCTCTCTCTCTCATTCCCTCTCTCTCTCTCTCTCAAATAAATAAAAAATCTTTAAAAATAAATTAATTAATTTAAAAAAATATTCCATTGTGTGTATATATAGATACATATGTATATATGTATCACATCTTGTTTATCCATTCATCTGTTGATGGATATCTTGGCTCTTTCCATAGTTTGGGTATTGTGGACATTGCTGCTATAAACATTGGGGTACATTTACCCCTTTAGATCACTGCATTTATATCTTTGGGGTAAATACACAGTAGTGCAATTGCTGGGTCATAGGGTAGTTCTATTTTCCACTTTTTGAGGAACCTCCATACTGTTTTCCAGAGTGGCTGCACCAGCTTGCATTCCCGCCAACAGTATAGGAGGGTTCCCCTTTCTCCACATCCTCGCCAACATCTGTCGTTTCCTGACTTGTTAATTTTAGCCATTCTGACTGGTGTGAGGTGATATCTCATTGAGGTTTTGATTTGTA